GAGCTGGTCGTACAGTTTTTGTAGATCATTACGCTGAAGATTTGAAGATGGAGGAATGTATAAGGAGCAAAGTGTGAAGGCAATATGCAGTGTAAGCCTAACTGCAACAGCTTGCATATTCGTGTCAAGCGGAACAGGACTGTGAACAACGCCCCGCCGCACCAAAATAGAAGCTCCTCCAGTAGCTTTATCTCCCGGAGGAGAGAAGGAATGATACGAACTATACTGCCTTAAATCAAATTTGTCGGTTGTTTTAAGGTACGTTTCTTGTAAAGAAATTGCTGATGGACAAATATCCGTTGATAATAATTGCAGTTCGTTAAAATTGTGCCTAAGTCCTCGGCAATTCCATTGAATTAGATTCGAATGATTCATGGTGGTTCTACCGGAGATCGTTCACGTAAACGTGAAGAGGAGTCACCACTGTTGTGGTGTGAAGATGGGGTGCAATCCATCTCAAGAGGCTCAAAGTAATTGTGAACATCTACAGATGGTTCAGTGAGAGTAGGGATCTTAGTAGAAATGTTCTTGTTTTGTTTCTTCTTTTGTTTTTTGGGCATTTCAGTTGATGGTTTGTTGGTAGCTGGTATATCAGGAGTGGGTGTAGATGGGGCCACAACCTGAGTCACAATGAAAGAATCTGGAGACATTTCACCTGGGCTGACAGAATGAGTTGTTTGACTGTCACATGATGTAGTCAGAGGCAGCGGGTGTTCAGAATGTGTCCACGTCAAGTCCGTCTGACATTCTATAGATCTACTGGTTGAAGGGCGAGAGACAGCAGCAGCAGCAGCATAAGTTTGTTTGGATGAAGGTGTCCGGCTATCATAGACTTTTTTCGCATCAAAGTAACTGATGTTGTTTTGACATTTGATTGTCAAAATGTCTTTTTCACGTGTCCAAAAAGGGCAGGATTTAGATGATGCAACATGTTGACCCTTACAGTTTGTACATTTCAGGTCTGCTGTACAGCCTGAACCATCATGATTTCCACCACAACGGTGGCAAACAGTTGGACGATCACATGATTTGGAGCCGTGCCCAAACTTCTGACATTTGTAACACCGGAGTGGATTGGGGACATACACCTCCACTCCGATGTTAAAATAGCCTGTCTTAATAGATTGTGGAATTGTTGAAAGAGAAAAGGAGAACAAATAAGTATTTGTTGGAACGAAATTTTCACCATCTTTTCTATTGAAACGTTTCACTGATGTGACATTCTGTGATTTAAGTTCTTCCAAAATGTCATCTTCTGACATTTCAGCCAGGCAACGAGCTCTGTCGCGGATGATCCCTCGACTCGAATTCAACGTTCTGTGTTCAGAAACAACAACTTCTGTGTTAGCAAAGCTAGTACATTTTAAAAGATTAATAGCCTGCTGTCTCCGTGCACACTCCACCAAAAGAGAGCCGCTCCGGAGCCGTGAAACATTCTTCACCTCACCACAGATACCTTCAATGGCTTTAGATATTGCAAAGGGATTGATTTTCAAAGGTAGTTGATTACGTGAGTCCACTACGATAAACCGAGCCCAAGAATTTGAAGTTTGTGAAATAGAAGCATCGTCGTGAGATGAGAAAATCTCAGCTTCCAGACGTCTCTTCTTGTCAGTGCGGTTTGAACCAGTATGATTGTGTGCCATGATGAAAGTAATTGATTCAGCACCCCTGCTCCCCACCCACCATGGAGTGCTACACAGAGCGATGTTTTCCTGCACCGGATCTCCAACATGCAAACATCAGGGATACAGAGGTGTTATACTCCAGTAAAAACAACATGAATAGCTGCATTTTTCTAACAAATAAAATGCCAGGCTGGTCCGGCCCATGACAAGAAATTGAAGACATACAGAACTCAGAGGTCGAAAGTACCAGATTGGCCCATGAGCCACCGCCTTCTGGCGTAAGACTCTAGGCAATGTATACAATCCAAAATTGAGAACATACACAGGGTATGCATGGCCAAGACCAAAATATACAATAAAATACAACACATGTGTGCATATACAATATTACGCACAGGGCCTGGCATGACCAGCCGATTGATAAGACCGGGCCCATCTTACCACCCGTCTAGGCGAAGTAAGGGTCGAAGTAGTGTGTTGGGCAAAGGAACACAGTTCCAGGAACCAGTGCCCTCAACTACCAGACTCCCGTCCTCCGCCGACACAGGGACGCAACCCACGGCAAACGGGCTGCCCACTTTGGTCGCCTCTTACGACCAGCAATGGGGTGCTGTGGAAATATTCTACCCCGGTTCCACACGGGGGAAGAGCTATTAGCGCTACCCAGCACTCACCACGAGGAGGTTGCTCTTCACGAGTGCCCGAAGGGGCAAGATGGCGAGTGACCTTTCTCTACTAACATGCAGGGGATGCTTTTTTGTATTCATTGATCAATAACGAATTCCCCTAGCTTCACAGTGAGTCGTTGGGCCTGCCCAAGTTGTCTATAAATGTTCATCCCCAGACAAGACAAACTAACAAACTAGTTGCCATCTCATCACAAACCAGTCTGGTTTAAGGTCCAGGACATCAAAATCCTCCCCCAAACCATCCGACAATGTTCTTATATAGTTGTGATGGGTTATCTGTAGTCATTAGTGTATGTATGATGTATGCTATGAATGTATCCCTACACTTGCCTTTTTGTGTGAGGTGAGGTAAAATGGGGTTTACCGTCTCTTTCATGATTATTGCACTTGTGTGTATGTGGTTGTTTGTACTAGTCCGGGCCAATGCCGATTTTATAGTACTATACCACTGAGATACCATGCCGCAGTTTAACAAGAATACCTCACTCAGACACAGCATAATGACTCCGTCGGCCCCTGTTCATCTTCCCGAGGCAAGAGAGTTTACTGACTACAAAAGACCAGTTTCTACCCTTGCCGAACAAGGCTGGTATTATGGAGTTACATTTTGGCTGGACAAACGAGTCTATGCATAGTCCAATCAAAATCGCGCACCGAAATCGAAATCCGGTTCGTAAACTGTGATGCAGATTTCGGTCGATTGCAGGATTTGCAAAGCATGTGCACCGCCAACTCGTTGTCAACAGATATTTTCTAATCTTTTCATGCTTTTAATCAAGGTGCTCACTTGATTTGATGTACTTCGCGATGTAAGACCCGTTTTATCACAATATAGATCTTGATTATCGATCAGATCGTCTTGACTGGGCGCAGCTGATACGGAGGTGGAATCTGATTGGTCCGTTGCAGAGGTTTAGAAGGGACATAACTCGTAATAGCCACTGGTGGCGCTACGATCGAGCCCCCGAATTCCAGCCTAGTTCGTCAAGGATGGAAACTGGACGTTTAAAGTCAGTTAACTCTCTCGCCTCGGGAAGATGGTCCTTGTTAAGCCCCTTAATGCCGAGCGCCAGACAGGGTAACAACAAGTTCCATCTTTTAACGACTTTTGGTATGACGTGACCGGGGATCAAACCCGCGACTTCTGCTCTCCGGGCGGACACTATACCACTGGATACCATTTGATGCCCCGTGATACCCCAAACATTCTTTTAAGTCATGACAGAATAACTAATATTAGCTCACTTGCCCACAACAGCAAATACAAGAAGGCCAGGAGACGTATACCATTTGATTTATTTCTTTGTAAATCCCGAAAGCAAGTTAAAAGAAAACAAAATGCAAAAAGGCGTTGGCCCTCCAAGATAGACATGTCTTCAAATAATATAAGCAGATACCGTGTTGATTTTCCCCTAGAAATACTTTCAAATATCAGTATTTGCACCGAAACATGTTCAGCTTTGTGAATCCCTCTCTAGTCAGTGATGAATGCGCAACCATATCTTGAATCCATTTACAGAATATTATTCTTTGTATTCTGTCAGACCGGAACTGTAAAACATGAAAGGGCGTCTTCAATTATACAAAACAGACAAAAATATTTCTTCACAAGATTCAATAAAAATCATTAAAAAATCCAGAGATCGACTAGTACCACACTAGGAAGACTGATCTCATATGGATACAACGCCTCTCGCCTATTGCTCTCAGAAACGTAGAATCTGTTCCGATGCTGTTGCACATATCAATGTCTGATAAGTTAGAAAAACAAAAACAGTTACATATTTGATCACTTGCTGCCAATGATAATTATTGTTTACAGTTTGTGTTTGTTCCTGGTGAAAATATGCAGTCTGTGAAGTTATTTTTGTTCACGTATTTACTTCAGCTATGTAGTTATAAACGGGCGTACAGGCTTTGCGTAAATCCTCAACGCGAATTTACATGGTATGCATACTGGCTTACACGTTAATACCTCCATAATCTGTACACATATTGAAGCTAATTCTAATTAACATGATTTCCGGGTTTTTACTTTTAAGAGGTATAACCCGGCCCGACAAGAAAGGCATGCCGTCACTTGAGGTTTATAAAGACATTTAGAAGAGACTTCAGTGCAGAAAGAAAATAACATGATTTTCTTTTAACATATGATGTGTTCTGTGCATTCGAGATTTATGCATTAAGATTTAGAATGACAATACATGTAAAGTATTCAGAAGCATTTATACACGAGACCATGACCAGAGTTTTTATTTCAAATTTCCAAAAGCCAGCTTTTTCTTTGTGACGATCAGCGCCAGCATCTGGTGTGATTTCACCTTAGCGGTGCAATTGAATGTGTTCTTTCTACGACGATTTCAAACAGTGTCATGCGACTCTTTATCAGAAGTTGTTTGATACGGGTTACAGCATTGGTGGCGCTTTCAGGAAGTGTTGTGTTAGGCAGGTGTAGGACACTTCAAACTTTGCCACATCAGTGATCAAAATGGTGTTAAAACTCTCTGTTGGTGTGTCATGTGTTCCCGTGTTTGTTCAAAGAACATATGTCCTCGCGAAACATGCTGGATATCCTGTGAAAACTTATGTTGTGTTAAATACCCACTGTTCTGCTCTTCCTACATGCATTAGTCCTAAACATATCCTGTCTCGAACCAAATATTGTATTGTTCATAACCTTTACCTAATTCCCGAGGACGCAATCCTTACACGTGGTTCTGCAGACCCGGGTTCGTTTCTGGTTCGTCTCGCCAATGCAGCTGTCCTTGAGGCAAGTCCTTGTTCTAGTGTCGTCGACAAGGCGTTGTTTGGTGGTACAGTCACAGTAACAGGCGTTGCTCTTCCACGAAGTCCAGTCAGTAAAATCTGAAACGGACGTCCAATATAAGTACATGAAATAAAGGCTTGATCCACACAAGGACATTACCTCTTTGTTTGTTTGGTAGGGGTGGAGGTGGGGTCGAATATTTACATACCGCCATCATAAGCTGGAATATTGTTGAGTGCGGCATGATACCAAAATATGTTAAATGATGGTGCTTGTTGTGACCCTGCCTGGCGCTCAACGAGAACAAGGACTGGTCAACAGCACCATATCTCAGTGGGCCTGCACTATAAAACCGACTGAAATCCGGACTAATGAAAGCCGCCACACGCAAACACTTTGCTATATAAGTCCAATAATCTGAAACGCGACCTTAAACCCATTTCATCTTCCCTCTCCCTTGAATATCCGGGTTAGAAGTTTTCTTCAGCAATCAATGCTTGTTGTTAGGGGAACTAATTGGATCAGTGGATCATTGGACATGTTCACTGCATTGATTGATGTATGTCGTCGTATCCCAGTTGCGTTTGTTTTCATGCCCATTATGGCAAATATTTGATTGTCTGGTCCAGACTCGATTACTTCAGACCGCCGTCATAAAGCTGAAATATTAGTAAGAACAACGTAAATTATACCACTAGGATTCGCTATATCCATTGCTTCGGGGGTCGTTATTCTTCGTCATTATTATTCGTAACGACCAGACCCCCTCTGTGGTGTAGTGGTAGAGCACCCTCCCGAAGAGCAGAAGGTCCGGGGTTCGATCCCCGGCCGCGTCATTCCAAAAGACGTTAAAAGATGCTTCTTCTTTTTACCCTGTCTGGCGCTCGGCATTAAGGGGCTAGAACAAGGACTGGTCGGCTCGGAGTCAGTACACTGTGTCTGAGTGGGATATTCATGTTAAATTGCGGCATGGTATCTCAGTGAGCTGGCACTATAAATCGGCATCAGTCTGGACAAGAACAAGACGCCCCAAACGCACGCGCACGTGCATGCACGTCGCTTTATGAGTGCAATAATCTTGGACGCGACGTTAAAACTAATTTTAACTCACCTCGTAACGACTAAAACACACACAACGCGCCGAGGTCGGTACAAGCCTCGGTTCGACTGTTTTACATCGTCACGTGATGACCATCGCCCTCGTGACCCACGAATCGCCCCGATTATCTTTCTAGGTTTCTCAGCACCATACCCGTGCTACACCATACACCATACCCGTGGTAAACGTCTGGCACCTGCATCACTTTTGGCTTTCCTCCCACATTAAGCTGACACGCCGTGATATAACTGGATTACTCCACCATACGAGGTATATGTTCTAATTGTTCTAATACGCTAACGCTACAACGTAACAAGGACATATGTTTTGTGCAAACGAGAAACGGGAATAGACATGTGGTGAGAGGGTATCCATAACCTACAAAACGGCTCGTCCCCCTTTCGAAGGCCGCCGTGCGTCGGAACAGCGCAAGCCAATCAGAATTATATTATATTATACTCTTCAAAAATAGAAACACAAAACCGATATTGTTGGCCATAAAAGCAACATTTACGGACCAAGATGTGCAAAATGAAGCGGTTTAATGTGTTATAGTGTCAGTGACAAATTTCCTGGATCAAAATGATCACAACCAGGACATGCAAACCATTAGTCGGGAAACACGTACCCAGTGCAGTAAAAAAAGGGGCCATGGAGCTGCACGTGCAGCAGTACTATGAACGGTATTAAAATGCAGGGTTTTTTTTAGCCTGGCATCTGCGTCAATCGAACAGTGACAGCTCAACAACATGCCATGATTAACAGAAGTGCAAAGAAACAGCGTCAAAGGCCGCTTGCTAGCAGGGGAATTCCGATCAGCTGAAGCCAGTGTTTTCATTGTAGCACCCAGCACCATCACAAGGCTATAGGATCAGTTTCAACAGCATGGGTCAACACGTGATCGGCCAAGGTCGGGAAGCCGAAGAGCAACCACCCCCGCCCAAGATCGCTACATCCGACTGCGCCACATACTCGAAAGACGACCACAGCCACTTCAACCGCATCAGAAATACCCGGACTGCACAGATTCTCCAGACCGTGCGAAACCATTTAAGAGCAGCAAGTCTACGAGCAAGACGTTCTGTTCGATGCGCCATATTGAGTCGACAACATCGCCAACAACGACTGCATTGGTGGTTAACTGCGATGGAGAGATGTCTGGTTCAGCGACGAATCGAGATTTCTCCCCCGTCGAGGGAATGGAAGAGCACGGGTCTACAGACGTCGGGGAGAGCGTTACGCCGTAAACTGCGTACATGAAGTGGACATGATTGGTGGGGGTAGCATTATGATGTGGGCGGCTATCTCTCATCATGGCAGGTCATTTTTGGTACATATCCAGGGAAATCTTACGGCTCAACGATTAATCAACGAAATTCTCCTACCATACGTCCTGCTAATTGCAGCCAACGGCAAAGGTGTATTCCAAGAGGACATCACGGATCACAAGATCCTGTCTATACAACACCAACATTGATGTTCTCCCCTGGCCCTCCAGAACCCCAGATTTGAAACCGATAGAGCACCCGTGGGATGACTTGGATAGACGGCTACGCCGACGTCAACCACAACCCCAGACGTTGTAGCAGTTGGCTTTTGCGTTGCAGGCAGAGTGTGGGCTACAGAATCACGTACCCAAGGATGTGATTCGCATACTCGTCTCTTCCATGGGCAGGAGATGTCAGGCCGCTATCGATTCCAACAGGGGAAATACGCGTTATTGATGGTAGCTGACCTTCACCTTGGACTTTCCTATGCACCGATAACTGAGAGGACTACAATGACCAAATGTTCTCTCCAAAACATTTTGGCTACCTCACACAAATCTGGCTTTGTGTTTCTTATTTTGAAGAGTATATATATGTTTTAATATATACATATATTTTCCTTGTTGGCATGTTTGATAAATGGGATAGAACCATTTTTAGCAGCGACATGTGCGTTAATATTTCATGTCACCTCGCTATTGTCACGAAATCATATACATAATACTGGGTTTAAATGGCCACAATGACGAAATAACAACGTCGTTATGTTTGCAAATTTGAAGACACAAATTTCGTGCATTATGCCAAATAGTCTCCAATTTGTATATGCTGGGTTTGGCGGAAATGTGACACGCCAAGTATAAAAACGAGAACAATAACATTTTGATTTGATCAGTTGTCATAGTGTTTAATGATAGGGTCTGCCATTGATTATGAACTTTGGCATTTTATTTTATTCCTATAACAAGTAATTCATTTTGCATTTTTTATGATTACATTTAGCAATAAATCTAAAACAGATCTAACAGTTTGGAAGATATGAAAGGTTAATTTTAATCATATACTATGTTTACTTTTGAAAAAGGAGGGGTTGAATAAGATAATAAAGAAGATATTTACCTACGGTGTATTCTAATCTCGTACCATTGAAACCCAAAGAGTAATCTGACCAATGATGAATTGTAACATTGCTTCCACGGAAGATCCTTTTGGATGTACTACACAAACGAAGACAGCCGTCATCTGAAGAAGAAATAAAGAAAAAATCGTGTTTATCGCATGTGGATTATGATGTACCGTTTTAAAATCAGATATTGTACTCAGATACTATACATGTAAATCTAATCACTTTTCCAAAGGAGATCGGGGAATGGGGTAGCCTAGTGGTTAAAGCGTTAATTTTTTTTATTTGTAAAAGTAATTCAAATTATATTTGAAAAATACACGTAGAAGTATTCTTTTAGTGCTGACTTAGCGCCATTACAGTTATTTGTTTTAGAAAAGGTGCCGCTTACTTAAGATATTTTCAACTGAAAATCAAACACAGCATAAAATCAACTGAAATGAAGAGCAATCTCATTAAAATCAGCTCTTAGTTGTCGCTATCGCTAAACAAAGGGGGCGGTCGGGTAGCCTAGTGGTTAAAGCATTCGCTCGTCACACCGAAGGCCCGGGTTCGATTCCCCACATTGGTACAATGTTTCAAGCCCATTCTGGTGTCCCCCGCCGTGATATTGCTGGAATATTGCTAAACGCGGTGTAAAACCAAACTCACTCACTCACTCCAAAGGAGATCACATCATATGAGAACCCTGAGCAAACTTTGACAATCCAATGTAAACGACGGATTGTGGATTATTGAGCCAATCACCCGCCGACTTTCTAAATGATTCTGTTTTAAACACCTCGATTCGGAAATGTTCATCTTAGCAAATGAAAACCCACACAAAACCCAGATATACTCTTCATAATACACCCGTTGAGGTGTACATGCCAATACCCTCAAACGACGGAATTTATAAAATATACACAACAATATATTAGGGCGGTGCTACTTTGTTTTCATGTGGTTCCGATTTAGAAGCTTTGACAGTGAGTAAAAGGTGGCCCCGTGGTGGTGGCCATTTTCACGCGAAAATGTATGGCGTCGGAGTAAAAGATGTGAATATTATGAGATTGAAGTCCCTCCAAAATGCAATTTGGGGGATATCCTTTCACTTGACTTACATTAAACCCTGTGGATAGACTCGATCATACTTCCTTCTCTTAATACTATCGCCGCTAATACCCTCTGTCTTACATTCCACTCTGGGGATACCCTCTGTCTTACCTTCCTCTCTGGGGATACCCTCTGTCTTACCTTCCACTCTGGGGATACCCTCTGTCTTACCTTCCTCCCTGGGGATACCCTCTGTCTTACCTTCCTCTCTGGGGATACCCTCTGTCTTACCTTCCTCCCTGGGGATACCCTCTGTCTTACCTTCCTCCCTGGGGATACCCTCTGTCTTACCTTCCTCTCTCGGGATACCCTCTGTCTTACCTTCCTCTCAGGGGATACCCTCTGTCTTACCTTCCTCCCTGGGGATACCCTCTGTCTTAACTTCCTCTCTGGGGATACCCTCTGTCTTACCTTCCTCTCTGGGGATACCCTCTGTCTTACCTTCCATTCTGGGGATACCTTCTCTCTTACCTTCCTCTCTGGGGATACCTTCTGTCTTACCTTCCTCCCTGGGGATACCCTCTGTCTTACCTTCCATTCTGGGGATACCCTCTGTCTTACCTTACTCTCTGGGGATACCCTCTGTCTTACCTTCCTCTTTGGGGATACCCTCTGTCTTACCTTCCTCTCTTGGGACACCCTCTGTCTTACCTTCCTCTCTTGGGATACCCTCTGTCTTACCTTCCTCTCTGGGGATACCCTCTGTCTTACTTCCTCTCTGGGGATACCTTCTGTCTTACCTTCTTGTCTGGGGATACCCTCTGTCTTACCTTCCTCTCAGGGGATACCCTCTGTCTTACCTTCCATTCTGAGGATACCCTCTGTCTTACCTTCCTCTCTGGGGATACCCTCTGTCTTACCTTCCTCCCTGGGGATACCCTCTGTCTTACCTTCCATTCTGGGGATACCCTCTGTCTTACCTTCCTCTCTGGGGATACCCTCTGTGTTACCTTCCTCTTTGGGGATACCCTCTGTATTACCTTTCTCTCTGGGGACACCCTCTGCCTTACCTACCTCCCTGGGGATACCCTCTGTCTTACTTCCTCTCTGGGGATACCTTCTGTCTTACCTTCTTGTCTGGGGATACCCTCTGTCTTACCTTCCTCTCTGGGGATATCCTCTGTCTTACCTTCCATTCTGGGGATACCCTCTGTCTTATCTTCCTCTCAGGGGATACCCTCTGTCTTACCTTCCTCTCTGGGGATACCCTCTGTCTTGCCTTCCTCTCTGGGGATACCTTCTGTCTTACCTTCTTGTCTGGGGATACCCTCTGTCTTACCTTCCTCTTTGGGGATACCCTCTGTCTTACCTTTCTCTCTGGGGACACCCTCTGTCTTACCTTCCTCTCTGGGGATACCCTCTGTCTTACCTTCCACTCTGGGGATACCCTCTGTCTTACCTTCCTCCCTGGGGATACCCTTTGTCTTACCTTCCTCTTTGGGGATACCTTCTGTCTTACCTTCTTGTCTGGGGATACCCTCTGTCTTACCTTCCTCTCTGGGGATACCCTCTGTCTTACCTTCCATTCTTGGGATACCCTCTGTCTTATCTTCCTCTCAGGGGATACCCCCTGTCTTGCCTTCCTCTCTGGGGATACCTTCTGTCTTACCTTCTTGTCTGGGGATACCCTCTGTCTTACCTTCCTCTCTGGGGATACCCTCTGTCATACCTTCCATTCTGGAGATACCCTCTTTCTTACCTTCCTCTCTGGGGACACCCTCTGTCTTACCTTCCTCTCAGGGGATACCCTCTGTCTTACCTTCCTCTCTGGGGATACCCTCTGTCTTACCTTCCTCTCTGGGGATACCCTCTGTCTTGCCTTCCTCTCTGGGGATACCTTCTGTCTTACCTTCTTGTCTGGGGATACCCTCTGTCTTACCTTCCCCTCTGGGGACACCCTCTGTCTTACCTTCCTCTCTGGGGATACCTTGTGTCTTACCTTCTTGTTTGGGGTTACCCTCTGTCTTACCTTCCTCTCAGGGGATACCCTCTGTTTTACCTTCCTCTCTGGGGATAACCTCTGTCTTACCTTCCTCTCTTGGGGTACTCTCTGTTTTACCTTCTTCTCTGGGGATACCCTCTGTCTCACTTCCATCTCTGGGGATACCCTCTGTCGCACTTCCATCTCTTGGAATACCTTCTGCCTAACTTCCATCACTGAGGATACCCTCTGTCTTATTCCCATCTCAGGAGATACCCTCTGTCTTATACCCATCTCAGGGGATACCGACTGTCTTACTCCCATCTCCGGGGATACCCTCTGCCTAACTTCCATTTCAGGGAATACCCTTTGTCTCACTTCCATCTTTGAAGATACCCTCTGTCTTACTCCCATCTCAGGGGATATCCTCTGTCTTACTCCCATCTAAAGGGATACCCTCTGTCTCATTTCCATCTTAGCGGATATGCTCTGTCTTACTCCCATCTCTGGGGAAACCCTCCGTCTTACTCCCGTCTGAGGGGATACCATCTGTCTTACTCCCATCACAGGGGATACCCTCTGTCTCACTTCCATCTCAGGGAATACCCTCTGTCATACTACCATCTCTAGGGGTACCCTCTGTCTCACTCTCATCTTAGGGGATACCGACTGTCTTACTACCACCTCAGGGGATACCCTCTGTCTCACTCCTATCTTAGCGGATACCGACTGGCTTACACCCATCTGAGGAGATACCCCCATCTCAGGGGATACCCTCTAACTTCCATTTCAAGGAATACCCTTTGTCTAACTTCCATCTTTGCGGATATCCTCTGTCTTACTCCCATCTCTGGGGATACCCTCTGTCTAATTTCAATCTCAGGAAATACAATCGGTCTTACTTCCATCTCCGGGGATACCATCAGTCTTACTCCCATCTCAAGGGATACCCTCTGTCTCACTTCCATCACAAGGGATATGCCCTGTCTTACTCCCATCTCTGGGCATAACCTCTATCTCACTTCCATCTCAGGGGATAACCTCCGTCTTACTCCCATCTCAGGGGATACCCTCTGTGTTACTTCCATCTCAGGGAATACTCTCTACCTAACTGCAATTTCAGGGATACCCTCTGTCTTACTTACATTTAAGGGAATGCCCTCTCTCTCACTTCCATCTCTGTGGATACGCTCTGTCTTACTCCAATCTCATGGGATACCCTCCGTCTCACTCCCATCTCTTAGGACACCCTCTGTCTTACTCCCATCTCAAGGGATACCCTCTGTCTCATTTCCATCTCAGGGGATACGCTCTGTCTTCCTCTCATCTCAAGGGATACCCTCTGTCTTACTCCCATCTCAGGGGAAACCCTCCATCTTACTCCCATCTCAGGGAATACCCTCTGCCTAACTGTCATCTCAGGGTATACCTCCTGTCAGGGTATACATTCCCATTTCAAAGGACACCTTCTGTCTTACTCCAGTCTCTGAGGATAACCTCTGCCTCACTTCTATCTCAGGAGATACCCTCTGTCTTACCACCATCTCTGGGGATACCCTCAGTCTTACTCTCATCTCAAGGGATAGCCTCTGTCTCACTTTCATCTCTGGGGATATGCTCTGTCTTACTCTCATCTCAGGGGATACCCTCTGTGTGAATCCCTTCTAAGAGGATACCCTCTGTTACTACCATCTCAGTGAATACCGTCTGCCTAACAGCAATCTCAGGGGATACCCTCTGTCTTACTCCCATCTCAGGGGACACCTTCTGCCTAACAGCAATCTCTTGGGAAACCCTCTGTCTTACTCCAATCTCAGGGGATACCATCTGTCTTCCTACCATCTCTGGAGATGCCCTCAGTCTTACTCCCATCTCAAGGGATACCCTCTGTCTCATTTCCATCTCAGGGGATATGCTCTGTCCTACTCCCATCTCAGGGGATACCCTCCGTCTTACTCCCATCTCAGGGGATAACCTCTGTGTTACTACCATCTCAGGGAATACCCTCTGCCTAACAGCAATCTCAGGGGATACATTCTGTCTTATTCCCATCTCAGGGGATACCCTCTGTCTTACTTCTATTTCTGAGGATACCCTCCATATTACTTTCATCTCTGGGGATACCCTGCCTCGAACTTTCATCTCTGAAAACCCCTCTGTCTTATTTCCATCCATGGGGATACCATCTGCCTTACATCCATCTCAAGGGATACTTGCTGTCTTATTTTCTTCTCTTGGGATACCCTCTGTCTTACCTTCATCTCTATGGAGGCCCTCCGTCTTACCTGCATCTCAGGAGATACCCTCCATCTTACCCCCATCTGACGGGATACCCTCTGTCTCACTTACCTCCGATCGCAGGGGATACCCTCTGTCTGACTCCCATCACTGGGGATAACCTCTGTCTCACTTCCATCTCGGGGGATACCCTCTGTCTTACTCCAATCTCATGGGATACCCTCTGTCTTATTCACAACACTGGGGATACCCTCTGTCCACTCCCTCCTATCGCTGGGGATACCCTCTGTCTTACTCCCATCTCTGGGGATAAACTCTGTCTTACTCCAATCTCAGGGCATACCCTCTGTCTTACTCCCATCTCAGGGGACACCCTCTGTCTCACTTCCATCTCAGGGGATACCCTCCGTCTTACTCCCATCACTGGAGATACCCTCTGTCTCACTTCCATCTCAGGGGATACCCTCTGTATTACTAACATATCAGCGGATACTCTCCGTCTTACTCCTATCTCAGGGGATACCCTTTGTCTTACTCCCATCTCAGGGGATACCCTCCGTCTTACTCTCATCTCAGGGAATACCCTCTGTCTTACACCCATCGCAGGGGATGCCCTCTGTCTTATTTAAATCTGTAGGGTTACCTCTGTCTTACTTCTATCTCAGGGGATACCCTTCGTCTTACTTCCATCTTTGAGGATACCCTCCGTATTACTTTTATCTCTGGGGATACCCTGCCTCTAACTTTCATCTCTGGGGATACCATCTGTCTTATTTCCATCTCTGGGGATACCATCTGCCTTACATTCATCCCAGGAGATACCCGCCGTCTTATTTTCTTCTCTGGGGATACCCTCTGTCTTAGCTGCATCTCAGGGGATAACCTCCGTCATACTTGCATCTCTGTGGATACCCGCCGGATTACTTTTATCTCTGGGAATACCCTGCCTCTAACTTTCATCTCTGGGGATACCATCTGTCTTATTTCCATCTCTGGGGATACCATCTGGCTTACATCCATCTCAAGGGATACCCGCTGTCGTATTTTCTTCTCTTGGGATACCCTCTGTCTTACCTTCAACTCTATGGAGGCCCTCCGTCTTACCTGCTTCTCAGGGGATACCCTCCATCTTACCCCCATCTGAGGGGATACCCTCTCTCCCTTACCTCCGATCGCAGGGGATACCCTCTGTATTACTATCATCTCTGGGGATAACCTCTGTCTCACTTCCATCTCGGGGGATACCCTCTGTCTTATTCCCATCTCAGGGGATACCCTCTGTCTTACTCCTATCTCTGGGGATACCCTCTCTCCCCTCCCTCCTATCGCTGGGGATACCCCCTGTCTTACTACCATCTCTGGGGATACCCTCTGCCTTACGCCCATCTCTGGGGATAACCTCTGTCTCACTTCCATCTCAGGAGATACCGTCTGTCTTACTCCCATCTCAGGGGATAACCTCTGTCTTACTACCATCTCAGGGGATACCTTCTGTATTACTAACATCAATGGGGATACCCTCCTTCTTACTCCCATCTCAGGGGATACCGTCTATATTACTAACATCTCAGAGGATACCCTCTGTCTTATTTAAATCTGTAGGGATAACCTCTGTCTTATTTCCATCTCAGTCGATACCGTCTGTATTACTAACATCAATGGGGATACCCTCCTCCTTACTCCCATTTCAGGGGATACCGTCTATATTACTAACATCTCAGAGGATACCCTCTGTCTTACTCCCATCGCAGGGGATACCCTCTGTCTAACTACCATCTGTTGGGATACTCTCTGTCTTACTCCCATCTCTGGGCATAACCTCTGTCTCACTTCCATCTCAGAGGATAACCTCCGTCTTACTCCCATCTCAGGGGATACCCTCTGTCTTACTCCCATCACTGGGGATACCCTCTGTCTCTCTTCCATCTCAGGGGATACCCTCTGTCTTACTCCCATCTCAGGGGATACCCTCTGTCCCCTCCTTCCTATCGCTGGGGATACCCCCTGTCTTACTGCCATCTCTGGGCATAATCTCTGTCTCACTTTCATCTCAGGGGATACCCTCTGTCTTACCCCCATCTCTGGGCATAATCTCTGTCTCACTTCCATATCAGGGGATAACCTTCGTCTTACTCCCATCTCAGGGGATACCCTCTGTCTCACTTCCATCTCAGGGGATACGCTCTGTATTACTAACATCTCAGGGGATACCCTCCGTCCTACTCCTAGCTCAGGGGATACCCTTTGTCTTCCTCCCATCTCAGGGGATACCCTCCGTCTTACTCCCATCTCAGGGAATATCCTCTGCCTTTCCCCATCTCAGGGGATACCCTCTGTCTTATTTAAATCTGTAGGGATAACCTCTGTCTTATTTCCATCTCAGTCGATACCGTCTGTATTACTAACATCACTGGGGATACCCTCCTCCTTACTCCCATCTCAGGGGATACCGTCTATATTACTAACATTTCAGAGGATACCCTCTGTCTTACTCCCATCGCAGGGGATACCCTCTGTCTTAGTACCATCTCTTGGGATATCCTCTGTCTTACTCCCATCTCTGAGCATAACCTCTGTCTCACTTCAATCTCAGGGCATAACCTCCGTCTTACTAGCCCCTCTTGGTATACCCACTGTCTTACTTCCATCTCAGGGGATAACCTCTGTCTTACTCCCATCTCAGGGGAAACCCTCTGTCTTACTACCATCACTGGGGATACCCTCCGTCTTACTCCCATCTCAGGGGATACCCTCTGTCTCACTTCCATCTCAGGGGATACCCTCTGTCTTACTCCCATCTCTTGGGATAACCTCTGTCTTCTTTAAATCTGTAGGGATACCTCTGTCTTATTTCCATCTCTGTGGAAACCATATGCCTTTCATCCATCTCAAGGGATACCCGCTGTCTTATTTTCATCTCTGGGGATACCCTCTGTCTTACCCTTATTTCTATGGAGGCCCTCCGTCTTACCTGCATATCAGGGGATACCCTCCATCTTACCCCCCTCTGAGGGGATACCTCTGTCTTCCCTTCATATTAGGGGATACCCTACGTCTTACTCCCTTTACAGGGGATACCCTCTGTGTTATTTCCATATAAGGGGATACCCTCCGTCGCCTTTATCTCATTGGATAACCTCTGTCTTATCTTAATCTGTAGGGATACCCTCTGTCTTACTTCTATTTCAGGGGATACCCTCAGTCTTACTTCCATCTCCTGGGATACCCTCTGTATTACTTTCATCTCTGGTAATGCCCTAGGTATAAGGAATTAACGCTATGTATTTAGTTCACCAAGTCTCGCTAAATAGAATGCATATTCCTAATGAAGTATAGTTTCCATCCCCAAAAACACTCGCGTGATAACCTCTATATACTTACCATCACATATTCGTACACCGTCACAACAACACTCAACATGGGAAGACATAACCTCCACCTTTACTTCCCTCGCACCAGTGATGCTACTTTCGATCATGACTTCGCAATCTACATTGTCAAAATAAGGACCGTTCCCGAAGTTGGGCGTCACAACTTCCTGGACAGTGGTGTCAGCAGAAACCAGACTCGGTAGAGTACAGACTGCAACAGACATATGGCACACATAATAATATAGTCATGAAAGTGATACACTTTCATTTGCATCGGGTTATATTACTCTGGCAATGTATCTGATTCCAGACATCAACGCCAGAGAACAATCAGTGCACTCAGCCTAAAGCACTCAGGTAAAATAGATGCTTTCGTCTGTCCTTTATCAATAATGCTCAATTGTATCAAGCACTGGCCATTACAATAGCAAATTCAAGGTGAAACTACACTATACTTCTCGAGAACAATTCGGCATTTTGTTTTTGATTGTAGCTTTGTCGAACAAGTCGTGCAATTTATCGGGTAGTTCATACATAAAGCTTACCCAAATGTCTCAAGTTGTGGTAACGGTCAACAGTTCTTAAGAAAAGGGCACCTGGCATATGCAAATGAGCCACAACACAAGAGGGGGTTCACAAGCAAGTTCCCATGGTCAGTAGCGAGTGTGTCCAGTTCATGCATTGATGCAGACATGGCACCTTCGCCTCATTGATTCTGATTGTCGAGTCTAATTATATCGGCATGTCCTTTGGACTCTTCAAAATGAAAGGTAGAAATGTTAAGATCAGTCAGTATACCTGGGGGAAGGGGGTGGATGGGGGATTTATTGACCATCTCGTGAAAGGTCAGGCCTACACGTACTTAGGGAAGCAGATTAGGGACAAACTCCAGAATGCCTGTATCAAGAAAAAACTTCGGGCAGAGTACAAATGTAGACTCAAGAAAATCTGGAGTTGAAGTAAAAGCCACAAATACTTATGCTGTACCCAATATCCTGTTGGTGTTGTTATTAGACGAAACAAGAATATGGACGGTATTGACACTCTCACACGAAGCATCATGTAAGACGATAGATCCAACTCCCCCTCACTCTTCCCTCAATCGCTTATATTTACCAATCGTAATGGCAGGGCGTGGTTTGATTAACGTTGAGGCTCTTCAGGATAGAATGGTTTTCTGCACTTTTGCACACATATATTTGTCTCATGATCCTTTTGTGAAGCATGTCAAGACTAATTATGAAAACAGGGCATTCCACAGTTTTCGTAAACGAGCCAAAGATGTGGGACATAATCTCATTGTCAATGTTGATTTTGTTAAAGCTTCTGTACTGTTGGACGGTGTAAACCCAGTGAAGTGCCATATCGAAACGGGCCAGACTCAAGGGGAGGCTATCGGAACGAGCACTGCATCGAGTTATGTTTAGCGTGTTGAAAAAATGAGCAACCCTGAAGAGTCCTTCACATGAATGAAGTCGTCTGGCCTGAAAAATTAAAACAGAAGCCTTTCTGTTTGCTGCTCAAGATCGGTCACTTCCATTCGAAACCGTCAATATGGGATTTTGCATCAAAATGTTAGTGTGAAATGTAGATTATGTAATGAAATTAATGAGACTGTCAAACAAATTGTAAGTGGATGGCAAGCCTTGGCACAAAAACAGTATCTTAAGCGACATGATGGAGTGGCTCGATGATTGTATTACCGTCTTCGCCATGCTTGTGGTTTTGACACAGAGGTCAATCTAGGGTTCGGCCAAGAATATGTAGAGGGCGTCATGGAAAATAATAAATACAAAATTCTTAGGAATAGGCCCGTATCCAGTCCAACAAACCTGATCTCGTCCTTTTTAATAAATCCAATGTAATCATTTATATCATTGAATTTTCTGTCCCTTTTGACACTAATGTTATTGACAAGATTGAGGAAAACATGGCAAATATGCGGACCTCACTTTCGCAATGTCACACTTGCATCCAAAGTACCAAGCTGTCCGACTCCCCATTGTTCTCGGTGCCTTAGGTTTGGCACCTCCCAATCTGTTATCTCACATTGGGTGAGTACGTGGGTTTTCTGCCAGGAATACAGGCCTTCTGCCAATCTGGATAATGCAGAATGCTGCAGTGTTGGGGAGTCTTCACATTCTCCAAATCGTTCTCGGTGAGTTCGAGTAGGTAGCGCTTTTTTGGAGCAGTCCCATTCACTGTCTGGGCTTTTGTAAAGGGACGAGGGCCCTGGGCTGAATAAGAACAAAACGTGACTGTTCTTGTTGTGAAAACAATTTTGTGACGGACCTCGTTTTTGGGTTAAATATCCTTGTTAACGTGAGAGAATAGGTGAGTGAAGGGAAAAAGCCGGAATTGATGCAGGTTGACAAACTGGGGACGCACACGAGCCCTGGTTGGGTGCTGATAGTAGAGTGATTACTCAATGATTAACTCTGTGTTTTTTCGGTTCATTAGGGCACAGTGGATTCTTGCAAAAGTTTGCACATCGGTATTCTTAGTCATACCTCAAAATGGACCGAAAAGAATCAATCCTTATAAATAGGTTCGATATTACATTATGTGTTATGCATACCCAATTAATGAAAAACAGTTATATTAATCAAAGCAGACACAAAATATTACGAGATTGATTAAAATGTCCTGCGTAGGAATACATATTGTGACGTGACATGAATCGAGTTTGGATGATGGATGCATGACTTTAGATCACAAGCCCCGCGCATGATAATACAGGTGAGCAGGAAGGCAATTCCATCAACAGCCAAATTAGGATCCCCACATATTCCGTAGTGGTGAAAGTAGTCATCCTCGGTGGGCATGGCTTATTTTTTTTACATTCATTTGGAAATGAATACAATTGAACACGTGACCATTTCAGCTAATCAGAATGCAGGAATTACAATGAACACAACAAAGGTTTAAACATAATCAGGTGAATCTCCTTTTGTCTGTGATCAGCGGATCCTGTCAAATGCACAACCTTATCCAAATGGGCCCCCAGTTTCCCAAATACTAAACATTATGGCTCCGACTTACTGTTCTCTTCGAAGTCTACCTCTTGATACGTCATGACAAATGTCGAATTTCTGAAGAAATTAACTATGATGTAGACAGATCCATGGTAAACGTAGGTGGCTGCGCCTCCGTCCACTAACGTATTTAAGATGACGTCTGCAAGCCTCGAGCTGCCGTTGACTGCCGAATCTATACAAGAATGAACAATACTTAAAATCGAGCACAATCTATCTCAATGGCACGGCTATTTTGTAGGGATAATTTGCATAATTTTATATTGATTAATGTTGTCTGACATCATCATTCACTCGCAGCGATGTATATTCTCCTAAATCACAGTGGTGACAGAGAAGATGACAAGAATACAAAATTACACAGCAATGAAACATGAGTGAAGCGTACTCAATCCGATGTGGAGCTGTTTAAGCAGCATTTTATAACAACAGAACCTCCCGGTTAGTTTTAGTAGACAACCATGTATATATTGCTGGGGATATAGTAATCTGTCCCTGGAACCTCATTGGCCAAAAAAAGGACAGTAGTGAATGAGTGAGTGAGTGAGTGAGTATGGTTTTACGCGGCTTTTAGCAGTATTCCAGCAATATCACGGCGGGGAAACCAGAAATGGGCTTCACGCATTGTACCAATGTCGGGAATAAAACCCGGGGCTTCGGCGTGACGAGCGAACGTTTTAACCAATAGGCTACCCCCGACCGCCCCACGAAGGACAGTAAAATAACTGGACGTATCACAGAAAAAGATTTACAACTAGTATTGAATCATAAAATGGATATCACTGTATATAACAATACTTTAAAAATAGATCGACAACAGTTGAAGGTAGATCAGCATACTTGGGATCATGGAGATTCTTAATATACACATGCACACAAGTTAAGCGCCACCCACCATATTTGTGAGCTTTTACTTTTGGCACTTAATGATGACTATTATAACGAGATGTACGATTGTTATAAGCCGTATATGTAAACCTCATGTGATGCAAAAGTTGTCCCAAAGCAAGTTTAGCTTGTGTTCCAAAAGAATATGAGCAGAAAGGAATTTCACCAGAAAACATTGAAAAACTGTTACTGCCATGTAAATTTCATGATATCAGCAGACCGTATCAGGTGTCATATAGACACCCTAGGGAGTGCAGAGTCTATTGCACGACAGAAACGTCAGTAACGTGTGTATGATCCATCGACATTGACCACAGCTTCAACCCTACAACTCATACTCATTACAAGTAGTTGAATGCTTCTCTGAGGCAAACGGATCCATTCTTCATGAAATCCGGCTTCAAGTCCAGAGAGATTTTGAACTGGGGGATCACGATGTCTGATTTTCCGGCCAAGAATGTCCCAGAGATGCTCAATCGGATTAAGATCCGGACTACAGGCCGGCCAAGGAAGAGTGGCAATAGCTTCTTGACGCAAATAAGCCAAAACTGCCGGGGGATCTGTGTGGTCTAGCATTGCCGTCCATGTAAACAGGTCTTGTCTGAAGAGGATGGTTGTCAAAATGAGGGACTACCACTGGACGAAGAATGGCATCTTGGTATTGTTGGCCATTCAGGCTTCCACGAATTGTCACCAGCGGAAGTTTGCAGACGAAGGAAACACAACCCCATATCATGACAGAACCCCCGCCACATGCTAAGGTCTTCTGGATGTTCCTTGGTGCAAAACAAGTGTTACGTTGCCTCCAAACACGTATTTGACCATCAACAGTTCGTAGCAGCATTCGACACTCGTCAGACCAATGGATCCTTCTCCAGTTGGCCAAGTTCCATCGACTACGGGCACGACACCATATCAGACGATTCCGCATGTGCATCTCAGTCAGTTGAGGACGTTTTACTGGTCTTCTGGCGTTATAACCAGCCGCTCTGAGGCGATGCCTTACGGTCATCGTCGAGAGTCTCTGATGGGTAATTTACTGCAGTCTTAAATCTGTTGAAGTGGCAAACGGATTTCGTCTGACTATCCTGAAAAGACGTCTATCCTCTCTGTTAGAGGTCTTTCGTGGCCTACCAGACCAAAGCCTGTCATTGACATCATTGGTTTGACCATGTTTGACAATCAAACGAGTGATAACACTGTGATGGCGACCCATTTGTCTTGCAATGGCCCTGCATTACATGCCAGCATTATTCATGCCTATCACTTGCCATCTTTCAGCGTTCGTTAACTTTCTCCTCACTGTGGCTGATTTTCAACCTCTATTGGAAGGGGAATCTCACACAGGAGCAAAATGCAACCACGTGTCTGAAACTTGAATTTCACTTTTTATAGGGCAGGGGAACTGCAGCAACACGTAAAGCACGCTGGACAAATATGGGTTCATGAATCTATTAAAGCCTAATTCAGTCATACATCATCATATTTCGTATTTCTGATTCCCACACGTGAAATCAAGAGACTATGAATATGGTGGCGCTTAACTTTTGTGCATGTGTATATATGATGTTTTGAAATAGTTATCCCTTGTGATGAATAAATCTATTGTCAAGAGAATCTTAAAATATGATTAACTGTTAATGTTTAGTTTGGTTGTTGATATATTTTAGTGCTGTTGAAATAGAATCGTTTCTGTTGTAAAAGTGAACAGTTATCTGGTAATCTGGATGAGATAGTCCTGGATCCAACGATGGTGGCACTGGCAAATCATCAGAAGTTGAAACTAGATCTGTGTCAACCTGCCTTCAATTACTTTTGTAACGAGAACCAGAGATTTGTTGGGAAGCCATGATGAAAGAAAACAGATATGACAACCCTACTCCCCACCCACCATGGAGTGTCAACATACACTATAGGGCTACAGGCGTGCTAAACGCAAGCTATATCAACATAGGTAGCTAATAATGTCAAACAGAATAAAAGTCAGATTGGTTCTGCCTTTTAACAGTCATTTGAAGACAATTGGAACCTGGAGGTCAATAATGCCAGTTTGGCCAATGCGCCACTGCCTTCTGGCATAGGACTCTAGGCAAGGTTGTCATGTACCACATTTACTGTGTGATACACTTATATAATCAAAATTGAAATTGACCATGCACAGGGCATGGTATGACCAGCCGATTGATAGAACCGGGCCCATTCTACCACCTGTCTAGATGAAGTAAGGATCAAAGTGAAGTGTTGGGCAAAAGGAACACCTGTTCCTGGCTCCAGTGCCTTCAACCACCAGACTCCCTTCCTCCACCGACACAGGGGCGCAACCCATGGCAAACAAGTTGCCCAATTTGGTCGTCTCTTAAGACCAGCAATGGGGTGCTGAGGACACATTCTATTCGACCCCGGGTCCCCACTGGGGAAATGAATTATAACGTCGCTGTCAAGATTATTCCATTCATATTGCAACGTTTCTGCATGTGTGTGTGGCTGCTTGTACTAGCCTGGAATTATACTGGTTTTATTATGCTCGCCCACTGAGATGCCGCAGTTTAACATGGTAGCCTCACTTAGTCACAATCCACTGACTCTGAGTCGACCCGTCCTTGTGTTATTCCCTGTGTGGCGGGATCAAGGCAGGGAAACAGAGTTGCCATCTTTAAAAATCGTTTGGTATGACACGGCCAGGAGATTGAACAATTGAACAACTCTCAAGGCGAACACCCTGCCCACTACACCCCTTCTCTGCCCACTACACTATAGAAGCAGGCTGAAGTTAAGCAACTTTCACGATACGTTTGTGTTTTAACTCACCATTCGCTAATAGATAAATACTATGGGCCGTGTAATTAAATCTGGTGAAATCAAGTTTCAAAGAGGAACCAGCTGGTACGGTGATTAGTACTGAACATTGTGAAGATAACCCATCTGTGTTCTGGAGTGTCTTGGGCGTTGAGTTGGCAACTAGCACTGATCCACTACCACAAACTGAGAAAAAAAACATTATTATCAGATTATTATCCTAAAAGTTAAATATATAACTTTATTTTCAGTACGAGGTATTGAATAAAGTGACATGCGGTCTTCTAGGTTGTAGGACTTTGGCATTTTATTTTGATTTTAAGGCGCTCCTTAATACACCATCTAATACAGTCAAGCCTAAAAGACAGGAATGTGACACAGCATCCAGGTTTATTTTTTCTTAATTATCCTCGAGTCTGATATCCACACGTAAGTCTTCAGAATTATTTATAATAACATAAAATATGTATGTCTACACCTTTTAACATTCCAGTTTCTCATAAATACCATTTAAGAAATAGACAATTTTAAAATGGTTTAGTTCTCATCCCAGTGACCTGATCGAAAAAGACCTACAAAAACAACACACCAAAGTAGAAATAATAGCAGGCTACTTACTGTCGACCTGTGCTCCTGCATCCAACACTAGCACCCAGACTGAAACACACAGCTTTAGGAGGATCAGCATCTACGGGAACATAAACATTATAATGATAATGATGATGATAGTTGTTTATGATGATGATGATCACCATATGTTAACGTCTTTTGGTATGACGAGGTCGGGGACCATGGCGTGATGAACAAGGAGGCCTTTCATGATTGAATTTTATCGTGCACTATTGCACATATTTATTTATCTGAAGATCCTCTTGTGAAGCATGTCAAGACTGAAAACAAGTCATTCAATATATTTTCCTAAACGACCCATCGATGTAGTACTGAATATCAATGTTAATGTTTATTTGGTTGATGGTGCTGGATGGTACAGAAATAAGTGTCAACTCAGCTAAGTGCCATATCAAATCGACCAAGAATCAGTCACTTCCCACTAGAAAACGTCAATGTGTGATTTTGTATCAAAGTGGATGTTCAACTTGACACAAACAAAGCATCTTAGGCATGGTTCGATCCTCTTGTTACCGTCATCGCACGATCGCCTTTTTGGTTTTGACTCCGAGACCATCAATGGTACGACGCAGAATATGTAGAGGGCGTCATGGAAAATGATAATTACATATAAAATTCTTTGGAATACGCCCACATACAGAGTCAGACGTATCCAAGCGAACAAACCCGATAGGTCCTTTTGGATAAATCCAATGAAATCATTGTATGACTCATTTGTCTGTTTCTTTTGAAACTAATGAGAATCGGGAGAAACAAGGCAAAGACAGTATGAGGACCGTACTTACGAATACAAAATGTCAAGCTAGCTTCCCAAGTTGTTATACTCGCCATTCATGACAAGAAAAATCCCGTTTCCTGGCGCTTAAAATAGTGTTTGTATTAATTAAAATGCACACATTTCCAAATATTCCAAATCATTTTTTACATGTATGCCTAGTTTGGTGTCATTTACGTCAGTGTCCATACCGTCAACCATCCTTGGAGGATAATGGTGACGTAGATGACAAAAACGACAACGACAACAACGATGTGCTGGATTGACTTTAAGAAAGCATATGATTCTGTCTGTTTGGGAATGTTTCGACATGTTGTAGAAATTTACGTCAGTGTCTTCATCGTCCACTATCCTGGAATGTGTATCTTGCCACATATGTTAGCGGGTATAGACACAAAACCAAATAAAGACATGTACATGTGTATGCATACAATTTGGAATAATACGGACAGTTTACAATCCTAGACACATTCAACAGTAAGCCATGTTAGATCATGTTTTCACTGCTGTTTTATGTATGAGAATACAAAAAGTATGTATTTGTCAGTCATTCAAATCTCGGGTTCAGCAAAAGTTTTCGTATCTATTTTTAGTATAAATTGTTAGGTGAGTGAGTGTGAGTTGTCAATTTCAGGTGCTTAAAATGCACTTTAATGAATCCTTGAGAAACGTTGTAATGTTATTAATACGAAAATCAGAAGAAAAGCAGTAAAGCATATATTTTGTGACCGGAAGTAGCATGTTCGAGGTAAAGCTTACGCTTTGTTTATCATCAAAAGTCTGACAGTGATGACATTTCTTCAAAACATGACAAAGTCCCTATCAGTCACAACATGAGAGATATTTACCACTAATGTGTGTACCGAACTCTCGAACCTATTCTCCGATCACGACAGCCTCACTATAAGAATACATATAGATTTGGACCTGTGAAGATCAGGGTTAGAACAGATCTTCAGCAACCAACGCTTACATTAAATGGTGACTATGGTCGGGCCAGCGGGTAATACTAAAAACGGATTGTAGAATAATAAAACGAAACGTGCATATTTAGGCAGATCTCAAATGACCACAAACGTATAGTTTTGCTCATTTAATTGAGTTTGAATCAAAATGCATCTTCAACAATGTAATAAACTGGTAATTATGACTACATACCGTGAGTCCTCGTAGAAAAGTCAGTGTCGTGACTGTGTGTTTTCTTTGATGAGAATGTTTCTCACCAACATTAGCGTGTAGGGGTCCGGGGTAGGAAAGACAGTGTTTTGACTACGCTTTCACTACTCTTCTTTCACTAATTAACGTGTTGGGCATACCTCTACTAATTCATGTTGAACCAACACAGGATGTTTTCGGGAAGTGGATATTCGCGAATGTCATAGGGCTTACACGACACGTGTTAATAACTGTCCTAGCACTTCTTAAGTTACTAAACATTCTTTATATATCTAAAGACTAGTATTATATCAACCTATCTGCCACTTTATTGTCTCATATTGGGGTAGTTAAAGAAAACACAGTGCTCAAAGTGAAGCCCTTTTCACTCTACCTTTTCAACATAGTTTCTATCAGTAGTGTTTGGCTTGGGGTGGGTCCGACTTGGACCTGGCTGTCAAAATCAACTTTAAACACACAGATGTATCATCAAATGTGTTTACATCTGAAGCTTAGTATTGTATCTACCTATATACAGCTTTATAATGTCACAGTACATCGTTTTTAAAGTAAGTTGTGCAGTTTAACCTATCTAGGTATTTCTGTATGCTTACACATCATGACGTCATACTGTGTATAATTATTTTTTTCTTATTCTAATACTGCTCCCATGTTTGTCAGTGGCCAGTGATGGTCTGTTTTTTTATGGAATAGTATTTTGCATAGCAATTTTGACGATAAGTAGTATAGGTAATGGTGATTCTGCCGCAACCCCACTGGAGCCAGATTTATATACCTATACTGCTACTAAAGAGGGATTTTTTTTATGTCAAAATGCTGATGAGATTCAACGATCGTCATGAGTCGTATTAAAAGAAACATGAATATTAATTAATAATGAATAAAATTAACTATCGCCCACGAGGATATTGGAAAGGTATAGGAGCAATACAAAAATTAGCCACTGCGGCTAAGGTATCTAAAGATATGGCCAAGGATTGGTTAAAGAAACAAGCGATGTGGCAAATATACTTACCGGCACCACGTTACATACCGAGGAAGAAGTTTGATATTTTTACAACGAATGAAGTTCATCAGGCTGACCTCTTGTTTCTTGTGGATCCCCGCCCACGTAGGAATTTACGGCAACGAAAGCGCCGATAAAGCAGCTAAATTATCTCTCAAAATACCAGAAATAAGCATAAACCTACCCATCTCAAAATCAGAAATTTAAAGTGTAAACAAACAAAAAATAACCAAAAAATGGCATAATCAATATCAAAACTCAAATAGCCAAATCAAGAAAGTGCTCAGAAAACCACTAGCCAAACCTAAAATCCTACACCCCTCAAAAAAATTGACAGATTAATTACAAAACTCCAAACAGGACACACGGACCTAAATAACCACCTAAAAAAACTTTAAAGGCACACCACAGGCAACTGCCCCAAATGCAAACAACCTGAAACCACAGAACACGCACTCATCCACTGCACCCACTACCAAACACACAGAACCACACTACAAACCACCCTCAATCTAAATAAGGTTCCTACTCTAGATGAAATACTAAACCCTCAAAATAAACTAGAAAACTTCAAGGCCCTAGGCGTATTCCTAATCAAAACAGACCTAATTAAGCGCATCTAAAAACTAATTAATCTACCAATCCAAAATCCAATAAACATTCAAACACCCACCTCACCCAGCTCCCTTAGTTCCCTCCTCCACCCACCTCGGCATTTATTCCAATTTTAAAAATTCCAAAAATTCAATATAAGCAACCCCTAAAAGCCCCCTCTTGGGTTGCACACACCACTTTCACCCTTTTCGGAATACACTCAATGGTCTGGCCAGGCCCGTGTGCGAAATACGCTACAGTCGGAAAGCGCACGTTAAATCTTCTATATCAGTCAGTCGGTTATCTCCCACAACCCATACATCCCATTTCTCCTACAACCAAGTTCCCCTACAATTAGTTAAAACAACACGCGGCATTTACCTGTCCTGTATTATGAACTCACCTAAAGGAGAGATTAAGGTCTTGAGTAGAGGTAGTAGAAATGAAAGGGGTAGAGCTTTAGGGGACTAGGGGAAGTTTAAAAAAAAAATAATGTAAGTGTAATGAAAGATGCCTATATGATGAGAAGACAATTTTTAAAAATTACAAAAATAACAATAGGAAGAAACAATTATTACACGGAGAAACTGAGATGGACGATTTACAGTTGAGATGGCTAGGTTTAGTATATAGATACTTGAAACTGACTAACATGACATCGGACCAATGCCCCCTAGAAAATGGCACTCCACAGGGCTGTATCCTCAGCCCCACCCTCTTCAATATAATGATAAACGATCTATTCGAGGGCCTATCCCCTAAAGTAAACACATCCAAATTCGCGGATGATGGAGCCATCTGGATCCGCACTAAAAGCATGAAAATGGTCCAAAATTTACTCCAAAAATCTCTTAATAAAATACAACAATGGGCTGACAAATGGGGCTTCTCCCTTAACTCAGAAAAAACAACAGGAATAGTATTCAAACATAAAAACATGAAACCCGCCTCCCCAATCATCCAGCTAAACAATCAAACAATCAAATTTCAAAAACAAACTAAATTCTTAGGACTTATGTTCGATGAACATCTCACCTGGGATGCTCACATCCAAAACCTAACAACTAAATGCAGTAAAGACCTAAACACCCTAAGATGCCTAACTGGCTCTAACTGGGGAGCCTCCAAAGATACCCTCCTCTCTCTCTGCATATCACTAATTAGATCAAAACTAGACTACGGCTGCGCCATATACAACACCCTAAACAACTCTATATCTAAAAAACTTGACTAAATACAATATCAGGCTCTCAAACTAATTACACGCACCCAACATGGCACCTCCTACACCTCACTTCAGGCTTTAACAGGAGAAATGCCACTAAGTCTCCGCAGGGAACAGCTAAGCTTAAATTTCGGGGCGGCGTCCCAATCAAACCCTCTCATCCAAAACTTAATAAACCAAAACATCAGCCCCAAAAACCAAGCTCTAGCTCGTGAACACCCCTTACTTACCCCAATATCCCAAAGAATAACAAACTACCTAAATGAACACCAAATTAAAAAT